ATCAGTATCTGAAAAAGTAGAAGAAATCACAATTTGCATATAGATTATTTCACAGTACGAAATAATAATAACAATAATATCACTTACCCCACGGTGTGGAGAGTGTTAATGAGGGTGCACCCTATCGAATGTGTCGGAGCTTCGAGGACAGGATCCGACCAGCTTTCCCCTTTGAAAAAAAAATATAATAATAATATCAATACGTATAATAATAATAATGCGGTGAATTGGCTCAGTGGTAGTGCGCCCACTCACATATCGAGTACGATACCAACTTCGAGCAGATATTTTTGTCGAGAAAATTTATTTAGTTGAAGTTGGGATGATTCTGCAACATAACATGTCTGACGAACTGCGAATAGTCATGATGCTCTCTAGGTTTCTGTTGGAGTTTCTAATATTGTCTAACCAGAAAACGAGACTAATGACCAAGCAGTCGATGCCATTGACACCAAAAAAAGTAACAAAAATAATAATTATAATTCCTAACCTTCGTTTTCCTCGGGTCGAATGGGCTGAAGTCAGAAACTGAAGGGTTAATCATGGCCTGCCAGGATTGTGTCTCCAACACCTTAGTCTACCATAGTCGCTCGATGGGCATGAAGGATCTTGACACCAAGTGTAGGGTCTGCCGCTAACCTTGTGAGACCCTAAAGTACCTACTTACTGTTGGCATGTTCAACATATGTGGTGTTCAACATATGTGGCATCGACATAATGCGGCCCTAAGGGTGTTTCATTACCACCTCTCCTGAATATGTTTATGATTCTGACTCCCAACCCGGAGTATATGTTTGACGAGTTTTTCCCAACTTTGTCTGTAGGTGGCGCGATAGTACATCCTACTGAATCAACTGAAGCTTAACTAGTTGCAATTAATTTTGTTACTTCGGGATATTCAGACAGTTCACTCTGTTCATGAAAGGAAATGAAAAATTGTTTTTATGGCCTGTTTTTCCAACAAAATTAAAAAAACTCATGGCGAAATCAAGTTAGTGGTCTACGTCATAATTTGGGTCGATTACAAATCAGGCTCGTAGAAGACATTCTAACCTGAATCTAATTGAAATCAAGATTGTAATTGAATTTATTGAAAGGTTTATTGCAACCCTGGGGTAGGCATGTATATTTTGTTTCCGATCATTGATGAATATTCCTATCGAGGAAACGGAAAAGAAGTATAGAACATTCAATTTTTCTTGGAATCATTGACCTCTGATATTTTTAATAATATTTAAACAAACAGGTGAACGTTGGCTTGAAAGTGGTTGACAATGTTTAATAGTTAATTTCATTAGTTCGGATTTCCATTATCTAATATTATTTGAAACCTCTGAAAAAACCAATNCATAAAATTTGAGGCTATTCATCGCAATAAATTAAAAGATATTAACAAACAATTGTGATTATTTTTTCCTGAAAATGCTTTGATATCATTACTTCACCATTAATTTTCAATATAAATACATGATATGCCCAAAAAACACTATCACTCGCTACGTAGTACACTGTATCCTGCATCAACAAAACTCAAACGCACCGCCCATGAACGAATAACGAATAAACCATTAACCCGAAATAATAAATGACATACGTTACAAGGGAGCCAAGCCTCCAACCGCTTCATAAAACACAGGCTCCACGAGACCGATCCAACCAGCGACATACGTCCCGATTTGTAATTTTAGTTGCAGAAATTATTATAGCGTTAGAGGAGGCTAGCCTCCAGTCGGTCTCCGTTAATCGTTACGCTAGTTGCACACACACCGATTTTGGACGGCCGACTTTGTACTGGTCGTCCAAATTCCAATAGTGAACCACATGTGGGAACGGGACCTTGCACACACGCCGACCGGTGATCGTCGCCGGTAAAATACCGGTGAGCAGCCGTCCATTGCCACTGTATCGCCGGCAGTACCGGGAAGTAGTGGCGTACATGACTAAATACACTCTTGCATACTCACCGGTTTTTTACCGACCATTCCAGTCTCGAATGCTCGGTGAAATTGTAGTTACTACGCATTAACTTCGTTTTGGTAGTGCGTGCTAATTACGACAACAAAGCAACTGACTGTTTGACCGATAAAAATTCGGTGAGTGTGCAAGCACCCGATACCAATAAAATATCGGCCGATTTTATACTGGCCGGCCAAAATCGGTGTATATGACTGCTTTTGTTTTTTATTTAATTATTCGGACGAGATGCCGTGACGGACCGGAAATAAAAAATATTTTGGTAAATTGTTTTAGTGTTTCTTGATAATATTTGTTATTTGTGTATAAAACAGGCAGTATTGTATTATATCAGTGCTTTTTGGTATCGAATATGTATAATCGACAGTTTGATAATCAACAGTTTGAACTGTTGAATATTAGTGGATTTTCATCCCTACACCAAACCGTTGTTTTAACACCTCGACACGTGGTTTAATCACCAAGTGATCATCTTCAAGAGGAAGAATGATTAATTGAAATAACGGTTTGATGTTGGGATACAACTTCAGTGATATTCATTACTACACCAAAGATTCCAAACAGGGCATCACAAGTTTGAACTGTTGATTATATTCGAACTTTTGATTCGTTATATTCAACAGTTCAAACTGTCGATTAGCACTAATCGACTGTGTATTTAACAGAAAGATGAGAACTATATGAGTCAAGAATTTTTTACTCGTAATGCAGTATTGGAATGAGAAGACTGCAATAATATAAACGAAAAAAATTAGAAACATTCTCCTCCACATTCAGTTCCTTATAATATACAGAGTGTGACATAAGTACTTTAAAATATTCAAGTTACGTATTCCTGAGACCATTTAGAGAAAAAAGTCTGTAAGTGTTGAAATTGATTTTTTTGTTCGTTTTTGAAAAATTACTTTTGCAAAAAATAAGTTATTCGCACGAAATTTGATAACCGTTTTTTTTTATATGAGAAATTATAATGTCGTATTCATTGTCATGTAATATCTAGAGGGCGATGCGTACGCTGACACTATTCATTTCAAATTGACACGTTTTTGACAGTGAACTTTGTTTTTACTTTTTAAGAAAAAACCTTATTTCCACACCTTTCGCAAGTAAAAAAGATACACTTCCCCAAGAACGCTGGAGGTGATCGTTTTCGAGATATTTACAATTTTTTATATCCATGCTTTCTACTTAGCATCTAGGGCTGCATCTAGGGCATCTAAGTGAAGCTGCTGAGAACATTACAAAAACTAAGTATGTGGTGGATCTCGTCAAAGTAAACAACTTTTTCCTAGAAAATGTTCATCGAAAAATCATTCGTTTTCGAAATACAAACTGTTGAAATTATTCAAAACATGTTTGGTCTTTGTCATAAGTTTCTTGCAATTTCAGTTGTAGGTATATCGAAAACGAATGATTTTTCGATGAATATTCCATAAAAAAAGTTGTTTATTTTGACGAGATCTACTACATACCCACTTTTTGTAATGTTTTCAGCAACTTCACTCAGCCCTCTAGGAGCTAAACGAAATTGAAAATTGTAAATATCTCGAAAACGATCACCTCCAGCGTTGTTGAGGAAGGGTACTTATTTACTTCGAAAAGGTGTAGAAATTAGTTTTTGTCATGAAAAGTACCAAGAGTTTACTATCAAAAAATTTAGGGCAATTTGAAATAAATACTTACAGCGTACGTAGCGCCCTCTAGATGTTTAATGAAAATTAATACGAAATTATGATTTCCTACGTGTAAATAACTTTTTTTTGCAGAAGTTATTTGAAAACAAAAACAAAAAAATCTAATTTCAATTCTCTGTATCTTCGAAACGAAGCATTTCCGGAGGTAAGTTTATTGAGACTTTTTTTTAATTATCTCAGGAATACATTACTTGAGAATTTTAACGTTCTCATGTTACACCCTATATAAATGGACCACCACTAATTGTTCTGACACTGTATTCAACATAACATTGAACAAATATTGTATAATATAACAAATCATAGATCATCAATGGGACTAATCAACAAATGCTTGCTTGACAGATTTTGAAAATATCATTATTCCATCATACTGCTATTTTTTATGTTAAACATATCATTTTTTGTTGATAGCATATGTTTCCCTTTAGATATTCTTCAATTTACAAATTACCCAAATAATCACTGGACCTCAAAATGTTATCGATACATTTGCATAATTTTGTTATTCAGCAATGCCATGAGGGCAGTCAGCACTATAGATCCACGACTCGGTAGAACGAGTGGTTTTCCTAGTGCTGGTTATTCGATTGGTATTGCTCAAAAATTAAAAAGTTTCAGTCTAAAAAAATTTAAATTCATCTGAGAAATTTTTAGGCCGAGTGGTATTTGTAAATTCGAGTATTATCTCCTGAAATACTCCCAGTTGAATGCATCGATATAAGAATATCAATTCTCAAACTAAATTAATTTTAACACCTAAATACTGGGAAATTCCATCATTCCAAGAACATTTCCTCAAAAGTTCAATTAATAAAAATACAATGTTCGAATATATCGTATTTTTCAACCTTAGGATTCCATTGTAAAATTCTATCGTGCCTCAACACGAGACCGCAGAGCCGGCACCCGAAATGTATTTATCTCGATTCCAATGGAATTGCTACTTTCAAAATAACGTTTCGATTCGAATAAAGAATAACTCATCATACCCATAAGTTTTGATTTGAATATTGAGATTTCTGAATTTCAATGAAGTGTGGCAATTCATGTTTCATTTCGATTTTTTTTGTCTGTTCATGGCCTCGGAGAGATTTATTTGATTCACATATCAATTTGAGTTGTCTTACTAGACTTAGGTGATGAAATCATTTGAATGAAACACATTTCAATGTTTATTTTCATGTTTATTCACATTGACGCTAGACATTTAAGTACTAAAGCTTTCTGTAATATACAAATTGAAATATTGCAAGTACCCGTCGACAATAGACGAACGAAAATAAATTATTAATAATAATTTCTGCCGATATATTACACATTTTACAAAAACATTCACTATTTACAATATGTACAAAACAAAACTTTATACAGAAATAAAAATATCATAAGAGAAAATCGCAATGATACAGTTGAAATTAACAACATAATGAAGGTTATTTTTTGAAACAACATCAAATTCAAAATTGGTTTTCTGTTGTTATAAATATTATTTGTACTGAAAAGTTCCAGTTCTTTGCAGCACGCTATCTTGAAGTTTCAGCGGACTAGGAAATTAGGTACTGAAAACAAAAAATATTTCAGGTTTCAATTCATGAATGGTGCTGTTATCGACAAAGAGGATAAGAAAACGGAACGACTTCAGTAGGTATTGAACCGGAAAATAGTAACTCGATGTAAGTGTGACTGGTTTTCCTTTGAAACTACTTCACTTTTACAAAAACTAATAAATTCTCTAAGCCACCAACAGTCTACGAGAATTTCATGGCATTTCACATTCTTATAATTTTTAACCCGTCCAGTTTTTTTATGGACTTTAGAAGTGTTTTTACATGTAAAAAGAATCTTCAGTTGTTTTCAGAGTTAAATACAGGAAGTTGCTAGGCTATCAATGAACTGAGTAACAAAGTTACTCAAAATTAGAATTATGATTTTCTGACCTTGAAAATTTCAAAGAAACTTGAACTATCTTTCACCAATAATGTTTATATCCCTATACAGATAAGACAACTAACTTTCAATTTTCTCTTTTTTTTGAAGTACTGTCAACCTACTTCTCAGACACCACCAAGTTCTTTGGACAATCGTCCTCACTGACAATAGCTTTCTTTTTTAGAATACCCAAGTCCGTTACATTTTCCAAAAAACTCTTGTGCGCACTCAAAATTTTCGCACTTTCCACATCCTTTTTCAATTCCTCCATGTCCCTTTTTAGTTTCGCCCTCCTATTTTGGAACCACGTTATCACTTGGGCGTTGGTTAAGCCAAGACTAGAAGCTATTTCATCTCTGTCGGCAGGGCTGAGATATTTTTGGTAGAGGAACCTCTTCTCGAGTTCGAAAATTTGGTGGTTCGTGAAGGCCGTTCTTGATTTCCGTTTTTTCTTTGGTTGTTGCCTATTGTTGAAAAGATTCAGGTGGCTTTGTCCATCTGAAACAAAAAAAAACATTGAAACATATTTGCATTTCCAAAATCTGAAAGAAAAGGGTCCCAAGAAAATATAGCTCTAAACAAGACTTTGAACTGAATCCATCGAACAATTACAGTGAATCGAGGGAAATTTGGCATCTCAAGCCACTATCACCATTTGCTGAGCGTCAATAGGAAAATTGATGCATTTCATCTCGTCATATAGGTATGGTTATCAGTCAGATTTGATAGCGTTAATTAAACCATGATTTTCAGAAATAGCAAAAAGATTATCACTTGCTGAGTCATATTTGCTTCAAAAGACTAACATTCAGAAATTATGGATGAACAATAACAATGTTCTACCAGCACAGATTTCATCTCAGTTGAAAAACTAGTGTATGTTGAGGATACTTGAGAGGGCTGACTAGCGTACATAACATAACCTAAAAATTCTCCGATTGATCTGTGAAGACGCAAACCAAATTGCATACCATTCATTCCTTTTGTTTGGGGCAGGTAGGATCACATATCAATCAATTATCAATCAAACTATTTCAACTTGACTTATATGAAACCAAACCAAATTTTCTAAAATAACCGACAAAAATCCTAGTCGGCTTAAGTATATATATAAAATATATTTTGAATATTTAAACAAATACAGAATATCAAATACGTTTTATTTGTCTGGACTGTTTACAAAACCGCCACATATTCATATGAACACGTCTGAAGAAGCTATTTTATAGTGAAAGAGGTGTTGCGGTTTTTTCCAGTGAGAATATTTATTACAAAGTGTTACTTAAATACGTTATCGATTTTTATCAAATATTGGCCAACTCCATCACATAATTTGTCAATAAAATTTGTATGGTTGATAACCCACGACTAAGGCATTTGAATTGAATTATAATATTATTGTTGTTAAACTGTCAAGAGTAATTCAACAGAATTGAATAAACAGAAATATCCAACATAACAAACCACTGGTCTCACCGAAGAGCAGCAATTCACATTTTATTTTCTACTTGTTGATGCATTTTATTTATCCCCAGTCGAGTTAGGGTTGCTTATTTTCGTAGTCGGATAACAGTTTTCTTTTATTATTCATGTTATCATCAACAATATAATGCTTAGATCACTAACCCATTACGTTTACCGCCAGAATCATGGACACGTATGCATCTATAATTAGAATAATAAAAATGTTACTTGGTTAGACCAAACGGAAACAATCATCAGTAATTTTTTCTTAAAAAATAATCAATTTTCCATCATCTCACATTATATCCATAAGAAACGAAAGATTTGAATGGCCTTTACCGAGAATATGATCACTAATATACGTAAAAATCTTCAAAGGCAGATGCCGACAAGCTCTTTAATTATCTTCGTGAATTCTATGGGAGTGGTGGAGCATAACCAAAACAATTGAGCTCAATAAAATCACAGCCAACTTAGCAGCCGCTATAATAGCCCAACTGTTTATGTTCCATGTTTGAAGAAGGGGAGGACAAAAGGCAGGGTTGATTTGTACAGAAGTGTACTCATACTTTTTTAGGCCAAAGAAAATGAATGTTTCCGTGAAAGGACGTATGGAATTCAGTACAATTAAACTAACTCGTAATATAAGAAATGTTAACATGTTCCGAATCATTTATTATCCGGCTCCAAGCAATTTATTGAACAATAAACTATTTATCACGAAATATCTAGTTTGATTTGTTGCTGAACGAATGGAGTGGTGAAATACGATGCAGCAATATCATTGTGGCGAAAGAACAATAACAGGTACTTTCAACAAATGTTGAGTTATATGAGAAAAGTGGCTGTCGACTTTTAAGGTATATAATTGTTCTAGTTCATGGAATTGGTATAAAAGTAAATACTGTTAGATCGATGAATAAATTGAGTGGCAATGTAAGGAATAGAACGGAAAAAGAACAAAACGAACTTTCTCTGAAAGCTCGTTTTACTTTTGCAACCAAAGAAGAATTTGCAAAATTAAATTCTAGTGCATAGATATGGCATGCCATAAGCATTTTTCTCGTCCACACTGATTTACGCATAGATGCGTAAATCTTTTCGTTTTGTTCGCTTTCGAAATAGTATGTGATAACATGACAGGCCTGTTTGTTTCGTACAGCTTTTTTGGTGAGAATAGACGTTATCGGAGATATAAACACTCCCTACCACTCATTTTCTTGATTTTCCTATGAGTTATTTCTATAATATAGACGCTATAGGGTTTGTAAACATCGAAATTATGCAGTTTTCCTACTGGTGAATCGAACAAGGAGCAGAAATAGGACTCTAAGAGGGAAAAATCTCACAAAATAGTCATTATTCGCAGCAAACTCAGCTATATCTTTTCCTCATGGATGTTACAGCAAATAAAATGACTTCCTGAGGTGTTAGTTGGGACTATAACCAAAACATAACAGAATATGAATAGCCAATGAATGTAAGTTTTCAATATTTCATTTAAACTCTGGATTTTTCATTTCAAATTCGTCATTTATGGATCAGGTGAACCATATTGTGACAAACATCTATCTCTTTAAGTCTCAAGGATTGTTTACTTGACTCTAATAGTATTACTCTAGTAATATTATATTACAGCTCAATAATATGGTCCCCATTTCATGACATAATATTGCTTTCGGAAGAGAACAAAACAAATTCTTAGATTATGGGCTTATAAGATGAATACATCTATTATTGATTATAATTATAACCAGAAATCTCAGAAATCCTTATTATATGAAGGGGAGAAATCTTTGAAATAATTATCATATTTAAGTTACTGAATGGCCAAATTGTTGCTCCGAAATTTTAAGGTCTAGCGATTTGTTTCACACGAGGTGTCATACTTCTAATTATGGTGGTATACTTTGACTTATGAATAAAATAAATTCATATATAACTGGGGTACCTCTGATGAGCAAAATCGAAACAAGTTCTAAGTGACTATCCTTATTCTCAACTGCATGTTTTACTATTATTACTAATATACGTATTTTTTCTTGACATAAGTTAATGTAATGTTCTATATTACTTCATTGTATGCTGTTGAATAAAATTTTTGTGAGCAGGTGTGATCTGTTGAATGAATTGAAACTTTGATTTGTTCCTTCAGTGTTGAACTATGAAATTGTTTGAAATCACATTTTGTATTTCTGTACGTTTCCTCAAAATAATGTTTTGACAAGATTGAAAAAATAACTGATGGATTCGTAATCTTTCAATTTCTCAGTTATTAGTTAGTCTTTGGTTCTATTGTAAAATTATTTAAATTTTTTGGTATGTTAGCTAATACATCGTTTGTAAATTATTTTCAAATGTGATGGCTACTAGTTGTTGAACCATTAATCAAATAATCTATTAAGTATCGTAAATGTAGGTAATCGATATAGAACTGTTACATTCCTAGTTTTGGGATACCATCACAAACAACACCAGATCCATCCCTGGATTTCACACTGCGTTGACATAATACGTATTAATGGATGCGAATTATCAGAGGGCCAACTGACTTGTAGGAATGCATCCAATAAAACAGCGGTAATGTACTGAAATAATGCACAATATTCATACAGCAGGTTATTACAATTTCGATTTCTTTCAACCAATGAAATCATTAGTGGAGTGCAGAAGCCTGTTAGAAAGGCAACAAATTAACCAAAATAGTAACAACATGAAAATTGTAAAAAAATTGGTTTTATATAATAGAAAGAATAAATTTAAGTCAATCCAATGTGCAGGGTATGAAATGGGGTGAATATATGGTGTGGAAAATGATTTTTAACCATTTCCACTGGAAATGGACTTCATATTGGAACAAACTGAATTTTAAGTACGCTATTATTTGTATCAAAATATTCAGTTCAACATTTCATTTTATTGTTATACCTGAAAAAATTCCTTTTTTGGCCTAAAATTTCCATCTGCTGATTTAAAAAAAAAATGAATAATGATCTTTTCTTTGTTGGATTATCTACTATCGGCTGGTGCGAAACAAAAGTAACATTACTATGGAAAATACTCAATTTTAAGAACCTTTTTTGATTTTGATTTTTTTCAATTGTCCACCATCTACGAATGTTTCAATAAAAAGAGTTGTGTGCTGATTTCGAAAGAACTGCTACTGTCACATCGACATTTTGATAAGATCTTTTTCACTTTTAATATCAATTTATGATTTTTTTTGCCCACTATTTGAACTTAGATGATCTATCAGCGGAAATGATTACCGTCTTAAAAAAAAATGTTTTAGCACATGAATATATCAGAATGAGGTATTGTTAAAGTTCACCAACAAGATAAAATGTTGATTTAAATATTTTGATACAAAAAAATCAGCATATCAGAACACAAAAAAGTAGATTCATGTCATATAAATTATTTTTAGGAGAGCATATCAAAAAGTAATAAACCGATTAAGTCCATTTTTCTCAGAGAGTTTTGGCTTATTTGAAAGAATGGTCAACCAACAGTTATATATCTACAGTGCTTTTCTTTAATGGGGGTCAACTCAAAAAATTGAAATTTGGGAGAATGAAATTATTGCATGAATACTTCATCTTCAACTACTACAAAATAGACATTTAAGTACATCATATAAGGTAATGAGCTTGAGATCAGTTCAGAAGATGTTCGAAATGGTTGCCTTGAACTTCTTTACACATGAACAGCCTATCCGATATTTCACGCCGAACATTTTCGAACACAGTAACGTCAATATCTCTACAAATATTTATTATTCTCCGCCGTATATCCAATATTGAAACAGGTTCAGTTTCGTACACCATTTGCTTCAAATATCTCCGTAAAAAAAAGTCCAAATGTGTTAAATCTGGCGAGCGGGCTAGCCATTCTGTAGGACCTCGACGGCCAATCCAACGAACATATCGAATTCATTAGGATTCGTTTCGACAATTTCAGTGATGAGAGGGTCAACAGTAGTTTCCAGCATATCCAAATACAGTTTCCCTGTTAAATTTTGATAAACAAATAGA